TGCCTCATTAGTTGTTTGCAGAAAAAGTCTGGCTGGCCAATGGATCAGAAAAAAAGAATATAGAAACAGACTGAAACAATTTAGTTAATGTGATAAAGGTGGCATTTCAAATATGCGCGGGACAGAAACATAATCAAATAAATGGTACTAGGAGAATTAGCTAGCTAATAAAAATAAATTTTAAAGAAATCTGGATCCCGAACTCATCACTGATTCCAAAAATACCATTCCTGATGGTACAAAGTTTAACATGTATATGAAACCATTAAAGTGCCTTAAAACATAAGAGCATTCATTAAAAAAAGATGTCCATCATTTTAAATAAAAATAAGAAAGTGCAGAACAATATTTACAGTATAACTTCATTGATTTAAATCATTTCTATAGTACATGTTTTGATTACAATTATTCAATGAAAGGATACATACTCAGTAAGTTTTATTCACCATTATGCCACCATTCTCTACCACATGTGCCTGGTACATGACAGGCATGAAAATATAAATTTAGTTGAATGACAAAATAAATGAACTCTTATGCACTATTGGTGGGACTATCAATTGTGGTAACCTTTCTGGAGAGAGTTGGAAATATGTATAAAATAATAATTTCATAGTATGAAAAGATCATATCCAGAACCCTCATTTCTAGGAATTTATCTTATGAACAATTTTTATGAGTGCATAGAGATACATGCTTTAGATATCCAGGACCAATTTTTTTTTTATAACAGGAAAAAAGTGTGTATGTAAGGGGAGAGATGGTATAGAAATAGCCGCACTACAACAAAAATCTGGTTAAATTAAGGCAATTATTTCCGCGGCCTATGCATTTATTTAAAAATTAGATGCTGATCATTTGCTATGAAAATGTAGCCATAATTAGCTGATAAATTAAATGAGCAGATCACAAAACATAATATGATATCATATAGATAAAACACTATACATAAATAGGTGTATATATGCACAAGGAAATTTCTGGAAGGAAATGCATCAAAATGCTAACAATGGTTATTTTTTGGTTGTTAAGATTGTCTGTTTTTAATATGACTGGAATTTTCTATATTGGAGTTTTATATTTACAATGCTCATATACTTTGACAATAAGAGAGAAACAATAAAAATAAATTCATTTATGAAATAGAAAAGCGTTTCCTAACTTTAAAAAAATATTTGACTAAATGACAAAGCACAAATCCTGTAATAAACAAGCAGCATAAAGGTTAATTTAACTTTGATATCTTTCCTCATTTGAAATGAATAATTCATCATATTTTATACTTCAATTTACTACTTGTATTCTATGACCAGGTTGAGATTGTGATTAAGTAGGTTGTAAATGTGGTTAAGTAGGTTATTCTGTATACTAGTATGCCAAATCACCTCTGTGGATTTTTCTGCTTCTATAAAAATATCAAGATATTGTCCAGTTAAATCTCTAAAAGACTATATCCTGTAAATTTTTTATTCAAATACAGATGGGTAATTTTTGTCATTCATAAAAATGGGCTAAATATGCTCCTTACCTTTCAATGAAAAGTAAACACTGGTCTTTTTGATTGTACCAAGGGAGTTGTTCTGTAGCAGAAAAGACTCCTGTAAATAAAAATAACAAATATCTGTTTTTAAACTTCATTTTGCAAAAGTTTATTCACATATTACTGGACTTGTAAATCATACCTTAGTAATGCTAGAATGTTACAATATTAGAAGGAAACTGGTGGCAGAGGACAACGCATACACTGACGGAGGATGCACTTTCATTAGCACAAATTCCCCCTCCCATCCTGCTGTTTGTGGAATTGAAACCTGCTGCACAAAAGTATAATATAAACCGTCTGCTTTTTAATAATACTACCTAACATTTGAATACCCCTTTGTTTTATCTACAAGGTTGTTGCAAGCATTTCTGAGTACTACGTGGCAAGTTAGCAGCAAGGTTGGGGTATACTATATGCCCGTTTAAAAAGAGAAATATAATAAAAATGGTGTAACTGACTCACGGCAACAGGGGCTCGCAAACCTTGTAGATGGATATAAACCAGGCTTGCCAAACATCACAGACAGCACTTATTAAATCTGCTACGTGGAATGCAATATGCCTGCTGTCTAGCCCCTCCCCCCTCTACCAATAAAAGACTCCCCCTTTTTTTCCAGTGTAAAAATACATGCTCATAGAATAGAGAAAATCGGTATTTTAAAATCACCCATAGTCACACTACCCAATGACGCCATTTACATCATTTTCTTCGAATTTTTTCAAAAACAGATTTTTGTCAAGAGGCCCGTCACAAACCAAACGGGAATTCAGGATGGGCGGATGGGAGAAAGAAGACACTCCTCTTCTTCCCTTGTTAGGAACTATGGCTGGTATTTTTACCTCATGTCTACGCTTTTTTTTTGTTTTTTTCTCCTTTTTTATTTTTTTTTGAATTATAAAACTATAAAGACACAATTTTGAGGGGAAAAATACGCCTTTCAGGGGTGTGCGCCTCAGTCACCAAGGAGCGTCTGGGAAGGTGGGTGGAGCCGGGGGGGTGGGGGCAGTTGCGTTTGGCCATTCATTGGGCATAAGGCTTATCAATCAAGGTTGTCCAGCAAATGAGGAGCGTACTAAAGGCACACTGGGAACGAAACGAACCGGAGGTCTGACTGCAAGGGGAGGGGGCTCGCGATCTAAAACGAGAAGAGATTTCGGGGTCCCAAACTGCGCCATTCGGCTGCGGCACGTCTGGGTACGCCGCCGCTGAAACCGGGTGAGGCCTTGTCGCTGCCGCTCTCGCCCAGGCCTCCGCCGCCGCAGCCACCTCAGCGCCGGCCGCTGCAGCCCCCGCCCTGCCCTGCGCTGCTGCTGCCATCGCCGCTGCCACCTCCGCAACCCGGGCCTCGGTCGCTGCCACCCAAGCATCCGTGAGTCCTTTTCTGCCCCTCTCCGGGCGCGCGGTCTTTGCGGTAGTCACCATCTTAAAGAGATTTGCAGGCTTGCAAGATGGCAGAAGCAGATGTTAAAATGGTCTTGGAATCTGCCGCCCAGGGGGTTGCTGAAGAGGAGATGGCTAGCTCGGCTAGTGATTCTGGGGAAGACTCTGACAGCAGTAGCTCTGGCAGCAGCACTAGTTGCAGCAGCAGCAGCAGCAGCAGCAGCAGCCGCCGCCGCCGCCGCCGCCGCTTACATAAAAAGAAGAGGGTACCTGAGCCATCCAGAAGGGCGCGGCGGGCTCCGTCTGTTCCAAGTTTCCTGGATAGGCTGCCTCAGGCAGTTAGAAATCGTGTGCAGGCGCTCAGAAATATTCAAGATGAATGTGACAAGGTAGACGCCCTATTCTTAAAGGCAATTCATGATCTCGAAAGAAAATACGCTGAACTCAATAAGCCTCTGTATGATAGACGATTCAAAATCATCAATGCAGAACATGAGCCTGCAGAAGCAGAATATGAATGGAATTCAGAGGATGAGGAGTTCAGCAGTGATGACGACGAAGATCTGGATGATTCCTCTGGTGAAATGCCTCCCTTAGAGGGTGAGGAAGAAGACCCTAGAGAAAAACCTGAGGTGAAGGCTGAAGAGAAGGAGGTTCCTAAAGAAAAACCTGAGGTGAAGGCTGAAGAAAAGGAAGCTCCTAAAGAAATTCCTGAGATAAAAGCTGAAGAAAAGGACGTTCCTAAAGAAATTCCTGAGGTAAAAGCTGAAGAAAAGGAAGTTCCTGAAAAAATTCCTGAGGTAAAAGCTGAAGAAAAGGAAGTTCCTGAAGAAATTCCTCAGGTAAAGGCTGAAGAAAAGGAAGTTCCTGAAGAAATTCCTGAGATAAAGGCTGAAGAAAAGGAAGTTCCTGAAGAAATTCCTGAGGTAAAGGCTGAAGAAAAGGAAGTTCCTGAAGAAATTCCTGAGGTAAAGGCTGAATTCCTGAAGAAATTCCTGAGATAAAGGCTGAAGAAAACGAAGTTCCTGAAGAAATTCCTGAGGTAAAGGCTGAAGAAAAGGAAGTTCCTGAAGAAATTCCTGAGGTAAAGGCTGAAGAAAAGGAAGTTCCTGAAGAAATTCCTGACGTAAAGGCCGAAGAAAAAGAAGATTCTGAAGATTGTATGGAGGTGACATCTGAAGTAAAAGAAGATCCTGAGGGAGCCCCCCAGGCAAAGGCAGAAGATAAACAGCCTAAAGCAACAGAGGTTAAGGCAAGGGCTACAGTAAGGGAGGCTCAAAAAAGAGTTCCTGAAGAAAGGCTTATGGAAATAGTGAATTTCAAAAGAGCTAGGAAGGGAAAGCCAAAAAGTGAAGCTCCTAAAGGCATTCCTGACTACTGGCTGACTGTTTTAAAGAATGTCGACAAGCTCGGGCCTATGATTCAGAAGTATGATGAGCCCATTCTGAAGTTCCTGTCTGATGTTAGCCTGAAATTCTCAAAACCTGGCCAGCCGGTGAGTTACACCTTTGAATTTCATTTTCTGCCCAATCCGTACTTCAGAAACGAGGTGCTGGTGAAGACATATATGATAAGGTCAAAACCAGATCACAACGATCCCTTCTTCTCTTGGGGATGGGAAATTGAAGATTGCAAAGGCTGCAAGATAGACTGGAGAAGAGGAAAGGATGTTACCGTGACAACCACCGAGAGTCGCACAACTGCTACTGGAGAAATTGAAATCCAGCCAAGAGTGGTTCCTAATGCATCATTCTTTAATTTCTTCAGTCCTCCTGAGATTCCTAAGATCGGAAAGCTGGAACCACGAGAAGATGCTATCCTTGATGAGGACTTTGAAATTGGTCAAATTCTGCATGATAATGTCATCCTGAAATCAATCTTTTACTATACAGGTGAAGTCAATGGCACCTTCTATCAAGATGGCAGAGATTATGGAAACAGGAAATTTCGAAAATAAAAAAGATGTTGAAAAATCAAGAATCTTAAAAATTCAAGAAGTGAAGCAAGTTCATATAGCCTTGAAAAAAGAAAAAGCAGAAAACCTGCCATATAACAAGCTGAATGCTATTATTCCTTATAGTCTCGTGTTTTCGTAGTTTCTTGGTAGTCCATTTTAAAAAAAAAATTGTGCTAAAAAGTGTGTCAGTTTATTCTATCTAGCCTATTGTAGTGTAATCAAAATATGTAAGCTGTTTTCAATGATCTAAAGCATGTTAGTTTGGTGCTACAGAGTGTTGATTTTTGTGAAATTCTTTTGTCATATTCCTATTAGATTGTAGCTGTGAAAACTGTCAGAATTGTTAACTGAGACAAATACTTGCTTGGAAAAAAACAAAGTTTATGAAGTAATAATGCAAGTGTTTTTTTTTTCTTTTTCTAGCCAGAAGACTAAAAATTTAAATCTGCTTGCACTAGCTGTGCCTTCATTACTTTGCTATAGAAATACAGCACTTATGCTAACTAGAACAGTGTATTGTGACATTTGCTTGAAAAAAGATTAGCTTACATTTAAGAATGCAAAGACCACATTTGATATGACTGTGAGCTTGTTTGTGTACTTAGTAGTCTATAAGTTTAATCAATATGAAGTTATTGTTTACCACTGAGGTGTTAATATGGCATAGTATTTTAAAAAAGTGTTTCCTCATATTGTGTATTGTAAACTAAAGATAGCACATTTTCTTTGTAATATGTTCCACTTTGCCTTTCATGAATATCACTTTACATCATTTGATACTGTTTTTCATGTTATTGCAACCTAAAATAAATAAATGTCAAATAAAGTGTGTCATGCTATGAAAATCAAGCATTGTCTCCTAATTATAAAATATGTGGGGCTTGTAAAAAAAAAAGATAGAAAATCATGAGGTAAAGGAAAATTTAACAAAAGATAACTATTATTAACAGTCTAATAAATTTCCTCCATCTTAGCTCTTCTGCTGGAGGATACACATTCAAGTTATTGGAGAAAAATGGGACGGGAAGGAGAAAGACAAAGAGACAGAGGAGGGGAAGAGGAACGGGAGGGGAAAGGGGGGATGTGGAAATAGAGGTGGGAGGAGGGTAAGGGGAGGGGTGAGGAGGAGGGAGGGGAAGGTGGGGAGGAGGGAGAGGGAGAGGGATGGATTCGGAGAAAGGGGGGAAGGGGGAGTGGGAGAAGAGAGGGGAGGGGCGGGGAATGGAAGGAATGGGGGGGAGGGGACTGGAACTGGAGAGAGGAGGGGAAGGAGGGCAGATGTGCCTCACCCAGAAAAGCCACTTATATAAGACATGCCTGGGACCCACCTTCGACGTTGACTTGAGAGGAGGTCGCACAATCCCATGGTTAATTTTTTCTTATAGTGGTATCAGGCTCTCACCGCTTCTGCACGGTGCAGCTGGTGACAGGGTAATTAGATCCTGAGATTTTGGTTTGAGACTAGTGTGAGGAGGAAGCCCCTTAAACTCAGTTTACCACAGAGCTTTGCACTGGGCATAAAGGCACAAAAACAGCAAATAATAAAATGGTATCTTATTCCACATTTGGCATTTCCTGGTCCACATTTATTTTCCTTGAAGACTTTACAGGAAAGAGGCAGGAAAAAGACAGGATTTGAGAATTTCTGGGTCTATAGGCATAAATTACCTAATAGTCTTCCCAAATACCACACTATATAGTTTAATATTTTGCTTTTATCTCTGCTTAACAATAGTTTTCCCCTATGTATATTAATGTAAAGATATTACAACCCATTACATATTATATTTAACCAGTCACACGTGTTTGGATATCTAGGTTGTTTATGATTTATATAACATAAAGAAGCAAATTACTGCTTTTAGCAATACCACTGCATTTTTGAAATATCTTCTGTTTTATTTCTGGTATTTTTTACATCCATGAAGAATGGATATGGTATATTTATTTATATGCCAGAACCAAAATGAAGACTATAATAAATGTGGTGTACTTGGTTCGTGGCTGCATAGGTTCCCAAGTTTATATGTACTGTGCTTGCCAGACATCACAGTTAGTAGAACCCTTGAAATTTCTACATGGAGCCAGGCACAATGGCTGGCACCTGTAATCACAGCAATTTGGGAGGCCAAGGTGGGAGGATCCCTTGAGTCTAGGAGTTGGAGACCAGCCTGGGCAACATAGTGAGACCCCCGTCTCTACAAAAAAATAAGAAAAATTAGCCCGGCCATAGTGGCACACACCTGTAGTCCTGGCTGCTGGAAAAGCTGAGGCCGGAGGATTGCTTGAGCTCAGGAGTTCGAGGCTGCAGTAAGCTATGATAGTGCGGCTGTACTCCAGCCTGGGCAACAGAGTGAACACCCCCTTCCCTCCCCCCCACAAAAAAAGTCTACATGGAATGCAACATCCTTTTTGCACCTTAGAACTCTTAACCAAAGTATTTAGCACCTCCCCGCTCTGTATTTTCCATATTAAAGGAACATACGACATTATAGAATATTTACAGAAAATAAAAATCACTCAGAACACACTACACTAAGATATGCTTTGTTTGTGGATTTGTGTATTTTCTCCCAGACTGTCTCTTGTTAAGGTTTTATCGTAAGTTCTTGGCTCAAATCAAAAGGTGAATTCAACTGGGTGAGTGTAAGTGAAGCTAATTGGAAATACAGCTTAGTGTTCTTTTTAACTTTAAAATGTAACTGGGGTGGGGCGGGCGGCGGGGGGAGGTGCCAAGGATTTATGCATCAGTAAAATTGGGATTCCTGCAATGCATGCAGTCTGTGATGGATGCCTCAACCACCCTGGCAGGTTAAGGAAGGTGGGCAGAGCCAGGAAACCCGTTGGGCTGGCACATTTATTGGGCTGCATGTTTGTCCATCATACTTGCCCAGCCAATGAATGACATTAGAAGGAAAAGCTGGCTGGGAAGGAAGCTAAAGGGCGGGAGGCGGGGGCCCTGAGAAGTGTTTAACTGAGTCTTTTTCTGCACCTTTCTTCTGGTGTGCACAATAGTCACTCTAAACGTTTGCTCTTTTCCTTTAATGCGGCGGACTCAGGGAACAAGGGACTTCCATAAGCAGCAGCAGCAGAGGCTGCTGAAGCGGTAATGGAGGAAACTTGAGCTGAATGAAGAAACTGACAACACAATTAATGGATGCAAATGTCCCATTCTGCCAGCTAGAGTGTGCCAAGTCGGGAGGTGCCACACTGTCTGGCGATACCGGTATATTTGCCCTCAAAAAGCTTCAGGGGCGATGTGATAAGATAGAAGCTGAATTTGATCAGAATTGCGAGCTGTGGGAAAAAAAGAATAAACCCTCACTTGATGACGGTTTATGTAAAAAAGTATAAAAAAAAGTATAAACCCTCATACGTGCCAACAATGTGGAGTTGTGCCTGCAGATTACAAACTGAGCATTGTGAAAGTGATGAGATTTTGAATAACAAGGATCCGGATTCCGAGGCCACTAGTTAAGCTGAGAAACAAAAAGGGGGCAAAGATTGAAAAGAAGAAAAATGATTTAGAAAAATAATACTTAAAGTACTGAGTATATGCTGCTTTTTAAAGTTATACACTTATATTTTATTTTAACAAAACGAATATTTCAAAACTAAGGTGTTGAAGAAGACCAGAGCTGATGTCAAAATGAGATTTCTTGATCCCTTTCTCTATGAACATTCAGAAATGGAGGTTTGCAAAGTACATCAGGTTGACCAGAGGAAAATAAAGAACCTCCCTTTAAAAGCCAAGGTAGTCACATTTTAAATGGGACACTAACTCAAAGGGAACAAGTTCCCAAAGCCTATGTATTTCCTGTAGTTCTTTATTTCTTTAAGTCCTCTTGAAATGTTATAGTGCTTTAAGGTGGAACCCATGGAGGGGGGGGGGAGTCTTGTTCAGTTATGACTTTGTGATTGTTGGAATTTAATTAACATACTTTTGTAATTCAGAAATGAGATTTACCCTGAACAGGAGATTGTGTGAACCTAGGATGAGAACAAACTAAAAGGCTGACTGAGATCCTGACCCAAGTATTTATGAAATGGGAAAGCTGAGTTTTCAAGATCTGGAAAATACTTTGAACATCTGAGTCTAGAAAACGATATGATTTGGTGAAGCAGGGTGTATAACCTGCAATATGATAAGTTCAACACAATTATACATTACTTAAAATTTTACATTTTGCATTTTTTGTAGAGTATATTTTCAAAATGTCAAAAAATGAGATGTTTAAGTATTGAAACACGTAGCATTTCTAATTGTAGCTCTTTGAGGTATCTCCATCCCATTACTGGGCATCTACCCAAAAGAACAAAAGACATTCTATAAAAATGGCATCTGCAGAAGAATGTTTATAGCAGCACAATTCAAAACTGTAAAGATGTGGAAACAATCCAAGTGCCCATCAATACATGAGTGGACTAATAAAATGTGGTATATGTATACCATGGAGTACTATTC